CGAACTCCTCTTCTTCGTCGCTGGCCGCGAACACCTTTACGTGGAGACCTCTAGCCAAGAAGTATGGATCTTCCCACAGACGGCGCCAATTGTTGTGAGATATGTACTTCCTAGCATAGAAATGAGACGAAAAAGAACACAAGCAAACACAGATCGTTTACGTGGTTCGATCCAACTGGATCTACGTCCACGGAAGGGAATCAATCAAATAGTTCACTAAGGCAAAAGAAATGGAGAATACATAGCTTATACATAGAGATGAGCCCTCATCTTCCTTCTACGGCCTCCTTCTCAAGCGACACCTTGATACAAGGCCTCAAGATGCTCTCCTCCTCTCTAACTCTATAGTTATTCACTCCTCGTTTGTGGTAGCATAAGATATCTTCTCACTTTCCTCTCCTAAGCCTCACACCCTTAAGATCTCTTCCCTTGCTCTCCTAAGCCTCATACCCTCTCTATTTATAGAAGCAAGAGAGTGATAGGTGAGAGGTAGGTGAGCGGTAGGTGGGAGGTAGATGAACGGTAGATGAACGGTAGGTGAGATGTGGTAGGTGAGCGGTACCACATTACAAAAGTGTCCTTTTACTTTAGTTCATTAATTGGGGGTCAAAATAACAATTTTTTTACTAAGTTATGTTATTTATTATCTTAAGCAGTATAATGTAAATAATCGGGAACTATTTTGATATTTTACTCAATTGATATGCTTCGATTAAAAAAAGTTTAATCAATATTTAAAACTCAATTCACATAAGCTCATTTTAATTAAAAAAATGAAAATAATATACTTAAAATATATTATTTATTAAAAAAATTGCTATTGAAATTGAATTTAGTTGTACTTCTCAATCGCCCATAATCATTTTCTATTGTTTTTGAAATTGTGGTACTTCATTTTCTATTGAAGTTGGTTGTACTTCATTTTCTATTGAAATAGATGGGCGATTGTGAAGTACAACCAACTTCAATAGAAAATGAAGTACAGCCTACTTCAATATGAAATGAAGTACTTCAAAAGAAAATAAAATGTAACCTTAATTTTAGAAAAAAAAAATTATTGGAATTGAAGGAGGTTGTACTTCCCAATTGCCCACAATCATTTTCCACTATTATTAGAATTGATGTACTTTATTTTCTATTTTGATCATTTAAACTAAAAAAAATTGCGATGAAGTTAAAACCACTAAAAATCTGTGATTTGATTGGAATTCACACCACAATTAAAAATCTATCTGTAACATGTCTGACTAAAACCACAATGCACGAAAATGCCATTTGCGAATTACATAGAAGAAAGAAGGATGAGGAATTATCACTCTCTAGAAAATTCAGGTTTTATATTGGTACAAGAAAATGACTTCCCTTGAGATTTACATCACACTTGCACCACACTTAAAAGAATCAATATCCAACTAAACACACAAATTTGAAATTCATTCATCACAGTTAGCTCTCTAATAGTTGCCTAAAATACTAATATATACAACACAAGACCCCTAAAGTCATCAAATGCAAAAGTTCTTCCATTAAAATCCCAACAAAATGTGGATCACATCAAAGTAATGGAATTTTGAATTGTCAAAGATAAGTCTTGTTAGCACTAAAACCGGAGGATTCACCCAAGAACATGAGAAAAATTGGCATAATATTTGCAAAGCCTTACACTCTCTGTAGGAACCACACGACCTGTAGGAGCTGAAGGCAAAGCTCTGCCAAAAGCATATACCAGTAGAAACAGTACGCTTGCTACATGATTCTCACATCAAATACCCTTTTGATAAGAACTCGGGTTGCTTTTGAATGTCTACAAATATCAATGCAAAGTTTTTTTGATGCATCCTTTCTCTTATTTATTTCTGATGCATGCTTTTGCCTTTATGCACTACAAAGCTCGAGGAAAAGATCAAGGGTATTGCATTTAGGATTTTCTCTCCTAGAATAATTTTAATGATACCTTATGTCGTTGTAAAGTTACGAGATAGCCAATTCTTACGAGCTTTTTCTTCCTATACCGCAAGGAACTACTTCTTGCACTTCTCTTCCTCTATTCCCGTGGAAGCAGGACTACCGAAGAAGAACAAAAAAAAGACCGTGCAAAATCAGAAGGAGAGCCGTGCGATACCTTTCTTCTCGTTTGAACCACACGCACCACCACGGAACTGCTACCTGTTCGCGACTTAAAGAAGAGCAGAGGGTGGTGTCGTTTCGTGAATCATAGAAGGGAGCAGTTTGCCTGTTTGCGGAAATGGGAGGCTCGACGATTCACGAACGGGAGCGGGAGCGGGAGCAGGAGTCGGGTTGGGCGGACTGGGCTCCATCATAACACAGTGAACTTTCATTTAAAAGAAGATCAAAATAATCTTAAAACATTTGTTCACCAGTAGGAAAGTAAAAACAGCAACGCTTAAAAACACAAAACTACAAAGTTCATAGGAAAGCAATTGTTGAAGAATAAATTATATCGCCTTTATTTGAAAGCGAACATTTAATATGAACGGATTGTTAATATTTCAACGACAAAATAAAACTTGGAAAGATTATAGAAAACCTACTTTCAAAAGAGGTAACATTCTTCAAGAATGATAAAACTAACAAGGAATTTTTTTTTTCCCATCTATGATACTCGATCATAAGAATATATAAAAATATGCTTAAAATAAAATAGAAAATGTTCTAAGCTCTAGTGAAGATGGTTTGCATATCAAATATAAACCAAATAAAAATTTATTTGAAATAATACAATTAATTTTTATAAGTAAAAAAATTTATCCTAGTCTAAACTACTAAAAATTGATGAAAATACTAGACAAAAAAAGCATTTTGTAAAAGTTAAAAAATATATAAACACAAAGTAAATATGCAATGCTTACTAGATCTCAAAACAAAGCCACAATAAATACACCCATGTATTATAGGAGTAGTCGTCACATATGTTGATTTAGATTCAACAAGACTACACATAAGCTTTACTTGCCACTCAATTTTTAAACCAGCGCCACATTGGAATCTTATTGGAATATTGCATTTCATCCATGAATTAGCCCTTGAAGATTTTAGTGCCTTCTACCTTATAAGTTCAACTGATGTACTGGATGTTATTTTATTATCATTAGTTTAGTAGGTCCATCCTCCTTCCTGACCTTTAGTCTATCATATGCGATTTTAATTCTCATAACATCTTAGTTCTTATATTGGAAAACACCAAGTTGTCCTCCTAGAAGGCTTGGACAAGTCACCCTTACTACTTAAAGAATAATAAAGAAGATCTAGTGGATAAAACAACCTCTACAAATTAAAGCATGTAACATTACACTTTTACATCAAAATCCAGCAACAATATATATTCTCAAATATTTCTAACACCTCAAGATAACAGACCCTTAATCACATCTAATCTCCCTCATTTTAACTTCTTATCATATAGTTGAGAAGTTATCTGCAACATAATAAGTAAATAACAAATGTTATAGTTTATATGGACACCTAGTACGATAAAGTTGAGTACAGTGGTGTATCCATGTTCACCTTTCTTTCCTCCAAAAAATTTAACGAGTAGGCTGATAAGCGGTACAAAATATACTACACCTAAATCATTTTACTAAATACTCCATTATAGAAGAGGATGATGGACTCCCATAACCAATTAAAATGATTTATTCACTCATTGGCTATCAGGTGACAATGATAACTATCACATGATGCCATTTTTTAGTCTATCCACTTCAATGAAGGTTATTGGAGCCACTTTAGCATAAAAAACTTAGGTGGTAGTCATTGAGTTTACCTCTTTTGATTAATTTTATTAAGGCTTGCTTTGCATGATGCATTTACCACCCCTCCTTCAATGATGGTTGACACATCCCTATTGGTGTGAATTGCTATGACGAAATAGGTTCTTTCATATGCCCTTTCAAGAGCTTCTTTTTTCTTGTTTGCTAAAATAAATCCTCTTAAGGAATTTTAATCAACTCTTTCAACAAATTTCTCAAATATCAACTACTTTTATGTCATGCCTACGGTCTTCTTAAAAACATAATATTTGAACATGTCTCGTGCAAGAACACTATCCTTCATCGGAATTATATGCTTGATTAAATCTTTATTTTAGATGTATTTGGTGATTTTACACATAAACACTCTTAGGGGAGAGATTATTGTGTACTAGTGTACAAAAGGTGCCCTTCACAATACTATCAAGTGAGAGGAGGTACCATCTCCTTTTAGGCGTTCGGTGACCTAATGAATCTCCTCAATCACTTGCAATTTTACAAACGTTAATGGTAATATGTTGGTAGAAACATGGTTTCTTTTCCATTACATGGATTATAAAACCTCTTGTCACTTTTTAAAATATATTAAAATTCTCACCTTATTGCAGTGTAACTCGAGCAAGTTGAGGTAAATGCTCTGTTAAGTTATTGTACTCCTCAGTATTGATGTAGTTGGTGGTTAGTTCTAATTACTTTATTAACATCTTTACCTTTTGCAAATCCAGGGTGTCATTGAATGAACTCTCATAGAGTTTAGCTTAGGTTATCTAAGTTGACTGTGGGCTCTAGCCATTTGCTTTCAAAGTTTTTCTTTGAAATCTTATATTAAAGTTCTTTAGAGGCATGCTTAGCTCCTACATCATCCACAGGAGATATGAGAGTTATTCAAGAGATTTTGAGCATTGGAAAACTAAATGATGAAGATAATTTTAAACTTAATAAAAAACTTTATGATCCCAAGAGGCATAAGAATAATTAAAGATATAATTCTTTGATAGTAGTAAGAAAAAAAATCACACTTCATAAAGTATAGCATGTTCTCCATGACTTTACCTCATGAAAATTCCCATGCATGGCATGTTCTTATATGTACTTATTCCATGCAAATTTCCTCATATTCGACATGCTCTTACAGATAATTTAACCCATGTAATTTTTCTCATATATCTCATGTTTCATGCACAATATCCTCCATCTGATAAGTTATGTGTCAATTATGTGAATAATAAACCCTAAAAAAAAGAAAATGAGAACACCTCATGTGTAGGTTCTCTTTTTAGTATAGAAATTTAAGTGTTTAGGATGTCAATTACAAACATTTGTAGTTAACATAACGATTTAAATTTTTAAAAGAAAAAACCTTTAAGAAAAAGAAAAAAATTGATAAATTTAAAAACTTCTTAAAAAATAGTTTTTAATCCTTTCGCAAAATAAAATAACTTTTAAAAAACAGTTTAAATACCTTTTAAAAATGAATTTGAAATCTTTAAGATAAATTAATGAACTTCTAAAAATGAATTTAAAAGCTTTTAAAAGTAATTTTTAAACCTTTCATAAAAATTAAAGTTGTTAAAAATAAATTTAAAACATCTTAAAAATAATTTTAAAAAATATTTTAATAAAAATAAAGTAACCTTTTCAAAAAATTTAAATAAACCTTTGAAAAACAAATTAAAAAAAAATGTTTCATAAAATAATTTAGAAGTCCTTAAGAAATTAAAAAATATATATAACATAAAACCTTTAAACAACTTAAAATAATTCTAAAAATCTTAATTTTATAACTTTGTTAAACATTTTGTAACAATAACTTCAAATCCTTAAAACCTCATTGAAACATTTAAATCATAAAAATTTAAAGACACTTTAAATTATTTTAGAAGTCTTAATTATAAAACATTTTCTAAAAATAACTTCAAAGTCTTAATTATAAAACACTTTAAATTTCAACTTTTTCGAACAAATTTCAACTTTTTAGAACACTTAAATCCTTTGAAATAACTTGAAGTTTTCACTTTTAAAACATTCTAATCCATATGAAATAAATTGAAAATTTCACTTTTAAAAATATTTAATGACATATGAAATAACTTAAGAACTCAAACATCTAAAGCACTTGAAACCTTAAATCATTTGAAATTTAAGAATATTCAAAAGAAACTTAATCTCTAGTTTGTAAACTCCCATGCCAAATTACAAAGTTTGCAATTTTCATATTAACTTCAATCTAAAACTTGACGCTAAGACTGAAATTGAACTTAAGGATATAATAAAATGGATAACAACAACTTAGATCCAAAAACTAAATACAAAACAACAAACACAAAATACCTTGATTTTCATGTTGGCCAATAAATCTAGGAGTTGAACCAAATCATGAATAAAATATCAAACACCAAATTAAATCTAAAATGCATTAACTTAAATAACAAAAACCATCCACTATACAAATCAACAGTAAACCCTAGGATTAGCCAACTTAGAAAAAAAATTCAGGATTTTACATACCCTAGAATTGTCCGCTTTAGAAAACTAAGTTGTATACTAGGTACCTCTAGTAAATGCTAAGGACTAAGACCTATCAAACAACAGTCTTACCCCCTTCGGCTATGTAAGTATTCTAAGATGAAGTAACTCATGATTACTAATAAAGACACTTTTTATCACCTTCAACTAAAAAATTTCAAAAATTGTCGTTACTATAGCAATAGTTTAAGGATACCAATATTCCTGAGATGTTCGAAAGCCGTTGTCATCTTGATCGGGAGTGTTATACCTAAAAATTAGATTAACCTACCTACTTAGGATTCACAAAAAGTCTAGGTTTATCTCAAAATTAGGGTTTAATCTCTATTTAGAAATTTTATACATATTTGTCTTTTAATATTTTATATTATTAGTCTATAGCAAACTTTAGACAAATTTTAAGAATAATATATTTTTTAATCTAATAATAAAAATTATAAATTCAAAATAAATTTTACAAAATTCATAAAATCATATAGGTAAGCTGGCCATGCCATGAATTTTTTTTAATATTAATATTTTTTTAAATTAAAGTAAAAATATTTATCCTTCCCTGTTGCTTTAAAAAAAAATTAAAGCATAAACAATACTTTAATTTTTCAAAAAGCTGTTATATTTCCCTTAATTTATGTAAGTTTAATAATTTATTATCGTTATATATATATAAAGCATGTTATTTTGTTTATTTACTATTTATTTAGGTGTTATGTATCTGAACATTGAAGTTTAGATGATAAATATGTGAATACATAGGAATTGAGTGGTATGTATGTAAATCTTTAATAAACCTCTATTAATTACATCTTAGGCAATTGATGTTACTTAAGAAGACTCCCGATTAAGATTGTAACTCGTTCTCAAAAAAGTTTTGGGTTTGTTGTTTTCAAGGAAGGAGTTCTAAAATCTTAACATAAAGGAAAAGGGCAAGGGATACTTAAGGGCTCAGAAGAACCCTCTTAAGCTCCTAACTATCCTGCTGTTTTGTATTATTTTGAAAAGTGATTCCAAGTTTTACTCTTAGTGTTTGTCAGAAGAT